CTGCTGTATTCACCCAGCTCTACACCTTGTTATCTCTTTTTAAGACCAGTGACTCTTCAGAACTCATTGAGCTCCAGTTTGTGATGTTGCTTTAAATTCAGGAGAAGTGTGTGAGAATAAACAACTATTTATTTTAAACTCACTGAAGTTTGCTGGTAGATTATTTATTTTGAACTCACTCTCCAACAGTAAAAATTCTCCTCTCTTTCCATACAAAACATACTGATCATGGGTGTAAAATGGCACATACATTCTGTATGTGACACCTGTGAGAAGAATTTACTGAAAAGGTCCTAGTGTTTGCTAACCTAAGAAGTACAACATTCCCTTTGTTTCAAAAGATATCATTATTCAAGGTCTTCTTGTCAGCTTTAAGGGAATAAGCAAAAGTTTTGAACTCAACAGTCTGAATTCAACATGGCTTCATTATATTGATCATTGTTAAACAAGAACCATAGCCTGAACTTCAAATTTTTTTGGCTTGAGTCCAAGTTGTGTTCAGGATTTTCGAAGGAATTTCCAACGCAAGGCCTAGCGAGTTTTCCGGCCGTATCTGATAAAACTCACCTCATTAACACCCTACGTTGCCCTATGGTGCTACTCATGGCTGATTGCAGGCCCATCTTATCATGTGTCATTCCAAAAACAACACACCACTCGGCGATATCCTGGAATCCAAGGGCATTCCTTGAACCCGTGTCATCAATCCAATGAGAAGGCTATCTCCCTTGACTTGACCAAGGCCTGTTAACAACCATGACAAGGCAGAAGTCAAATAAGCCGGGTGTCCCTGGCTAAGGGGTCAAAGCACAAAAGAGGAAGGCAAGACAGCAGTGCTATAAGCAACTGAGTAGGCTCAAAATGATTGAGCACTGTGAAAGCAAGTGAAGAGCCTGGAGATGCACCCTTGTTCCTTCCATGAGCTGGGAGCATATCCCCTGAGCAAACAATGTATTTTCAACAGCCTCACAAAGATAGTTGTTGGTGCAGCCCAAGGTACAGCATTGAAGTGCACAAATGTCCTGCAAGTGGATTGGATGTGTCATGAGAGTTCCTACAACCTATCACATATCGGATACCAATATCTGTGGATGTAGGGTGTGTGTGTGTGTGTGGCTGTGCCCATGGAGTGTGCGCTGAGATGTTGGTGCTCCGTGTTCAATATGGAATTCCTTTGGAGCAAACAGCGAGCTGAATTCAGCAGGTACAGCTCTGATTTCCAAGTCATGTTTTCTTGACATCCAGCTTGTTTGATAAGTTTGGTTTATTAATGAGGTGATTTGGGCCAGCAGCAAGGCATTTCACAAACAATAATTCCCTTCAATTGACAACCCACTGCTGCCTAGTGAGAAACTCGCCATGCCACTCATAAAAAGCATAAAAGGTGCTATGAGATTTTCTCGATGTCAAAATTGGCCTTGCTGGACTTCTCATGCCATTCTGTCAGAAATTTTGCCATGACCCATGTTACTTACAGCCTATATGATTCTGCCCCATGAATTTGAATTATACAGGTTTGCAAATGCCTTATGATGTATTAATCAGATTTGGCATAAAGATTCC